CCAACGATCTTATACTGAACTCTTCAGGGTTCCTTTGAGACCCCTCTCACCAGACTTGGTGTTAATTAGTTCTGTACTTGGGTTCCTTCCCCCGTGAACTCAGAGCACAGTTTTTGCCAAAGAAAATTCTTCTCACAAAAATCCTCCCTTGATCTCTGATGTGTTGTGTCATCCACCAATTCTTAGTTGACCTATTTTGAAATTTTGGCATTGGCTTCTGGCAACTTCCACTGAAGTTTCACGTTTATTTTATCTTAGTGCCTCATTCAAAACTTCTAATTTCACATTGTTATATAGCATTCAGCATTTCCCAGTTCATAAAAGTGCAATTAGGTGATAATACTGTAAGTTTGAACATTGTTACATTTTTTTGTGACTAGGATGTAGTTGCAACAGACATTTTCTCACCTTTCTGCTTTGTGATTTTTGGGCTATAGAACTTATGTATTATTGTGGTTGTTTATTTATGGCATTAGAATATAATGTACAAGTCCTTGACGTTAAGATACTGTGAACACACACTTCCTCCAGGGAATTTTTCCAATACATTGTGAATGCATCCTATGTATGAGACATAAAGCACCCACAATAAATAAATAAGGTTATTTGCTGAGAACTATGAAGAAAACAATCTGCTTCTCTTTTTAAAAAGACCATAATTACATACTATGGAGTGGGTATCATTATAATAACAGGAGTGGACTAAAATAAGAGAGAATAAAGGATATGAAATCATGGGAAGAAGGTTAACCACACTAACCCTTTGTAAAGTGTTTACTTCTTGAAAGATCTTGAGATATCACATTGCATACACACATGATTCCAGTGGATATTATGAAGAATATTATGATTCTACAAGCCAGATGGATATCTGTAGTAAATACATTTATCCAGGGAACACATAACTAATAAAAGAGGACCCTATTACTCCTAAGAGTGTAAACTTGTTTTGGCCTGAGAGGATGGTAAACAGATTGGGAATGTTGGGATTGAAGAAGAGATGTTCTGTGTAATCATACCAACATATCAAACAGTACTTCTCACTTTTTGATAGGCTATATAATGTATCTATTTTGTTTATTGTCAGTCTCTTCGACTAAAATAAAAGTTCCATGAAGCTAGGGAGCTTTGTTTTGTTTTTTGTTGCATCTTCCATGCCTGGCACCTAGTTCCTGCAAGATTTCTATCATGAATGAGCTAAGAAGAAAGAATGTGAGTATGGTAGGACATCACTTTGCTGACAAAAGTCTGTATAGTCAAAGCTATGGTTTTACCAGTAGTCATATGCGGATGTGAGAGCTGGGCTATAAGGAAGGCTGATCGCTGAAGAACTGATGCTTTCGAATTATGGTGTTGGAGAAGACTCTTGAGAGTCTCTTGGGCTGCAAGGAGATCAAACCAATCAATCCTAAAGGAGATCAACCTTGAATATTCATTGGAAGGACTGATGCTGAATCTCCAGTACTTTGGCCACCTGATGTGAAGAGCTGACTCATTGGCAAAGACCCTGATGCTGGGAGAGATTGAAGGCAGAAGAAGAGGAGGGCGGCAGAGGAAGAGACGGTTAGATAGCATCACTGACTCAATGGACATGAATTTGAGCAGACTCTGATAGTGAAGGACAGGGAAGCCTGGGGTGCTCTAGTCCATGGGGTTGCAAAGATTTGAACATGACTAAGTGACCGAACAATAAACAGCATGGGAAGGCAGGTTTTTCATTCAACCCAAAGAATTTTAAAATTACCTCTGCACTTGTATACTGTCTGTAGGCTGTGGTCTTTTCTAGAGCACAAAGTGGCCTCTTCTCTAGAGTCCAGGCTAAATTCTATGACTGCTGGCCTGGGGTATTCTGAGGCATGAACATACTGGAAGTGTGGCCACCAAATTCACTTCCAGTCTTGTGGTTCTAAGGATGGGCCTTTGCCAAAGAATTTACAGAGGAGGAAACCCAGGACTGTCATATTGTGTTGTTAATGATGATGACTAATTGAACTTGGGATATGAGATATTGATGCCACTGAAGGGAAAAATTGTAGTTTAACAGACATGTAGTTCAGAAATGCTTTAAATCATCGTTAGAAATTCTGAATTTAATGTGTTGGTGTATCAGACAGGAGACATCTAGAAGGAGATCATATTCAGGCAGCTATACAGATCAGCAGATGCTGAGTTATACCATGCCCATTTCTTAGGAAAATCCACATCCCTCTCTACAGGAGGTAGAGATTGCCAAGAACAGTTTGGAAAAGTATGGGTAACTCTTCCCTAATAAGTCATGACAGCTATCTTTGCTAAATAATTAGCCTCAGTATTAAAAACCATAGGAGGCATAATTTTCAGATAATTATATCAGAAGAATAAGAATGTACCTTGAAAGTTGTAATCTGTTTTTTCTGTTTATTAAAAATTTTTTTTTTTCTATTGTGGCTACTCTGAGTCTTCACTGGCAGTGTGTGCAGGCTCTTTATTGCAGAGCACAGGTTCTGGAGCTCGAGCACATGTACAGGCTCAATAGTTGTGGCTTGAGTGCTTAGTTGCCTTGTGGCATGTGGGATGTTAGTTCCCTGACCAGGGATCGAACTCATGTGCCCTGCATCGGAAGGCAGATTCTTAATCACTGGACCACCAGGGAGGTCTCTATAATCTGTATTTTGATTGAGGACCATATAGAAGATTTGGAATGGCTTTATTTAGACTATGTGATAATTTAATACATATTAATAAAGTTGGCTTCTAGTGTATTTTAAAAGTTGTGCTGAAAAGATGCTATCAGTGAGTAGTATTAATACATTTAGCTATACAATTTTATATTATGTAGAATGTATGTATTATAGTTTAATATCCTAAGTGAGAAAAACAAGAGGTCCAGGGTGAAATTATTGCTTACAGGGAGCAGAGCTGATACTTGAGTCCCTGTCTTCAGAGCCTGAGTGTGAAACTCTTTGGCCAGAGTTCTGCTTCAGGGAGCTGTGAGTCACCAAACTGAGACTCCGTCCTACCATGGAACTAAGCAGCTGGCTGCTCATTGGCAGTGAGAGTGTCCACCACTTGCCCTTGACTCAGCTATGGAACCCTCTGCCCCCAATTCTAGTTCTAGTGATTACCACCTGCTACCAGGGAGCCTCACAGTGAAACTGCAAATTAATGATGATTGTACCAGCCAGAGATTTTTAGATGGGCTGATACAACCTGGTCCCTAGTACAAGGCTATCAAAGTAATGGGCTCTTTTTTTTCTTTTTCTTTACCTTCTTCCACTACTGATGATGTTCATCATGAGAGAAGCTAATGGGTAGTCAAGTGCAGAGGCTTGGGAGCTGGGAGAAAATGAGCTGAACAGGGAACTGTGAATAAGCTGTTAAAGCCAAGTGGAAATGAGAAGTGGAGGCAGCTTGAGAGGTAGATGAAGAAGGCATTGGGGAGCATTGAGACAACATGGGGGGAGTTTTGGGCAAATGCAATTTCAGGGGAGCATTTGCTCCACAGCAGCATTACAACATCCCTTTTTGTACACTAGATTTATTTCAGTGGGGAAGGAAGAATGGAAGGGCCATAGGAATAATGGGGGACCAATGAATTAGTAATGTTTTGGAAAAGTAATTTTCAGTCTTATATACTCAACAGCAGCACCTGCTATAATTTCACAATATTTGTGTGAAAGTTAACTTTCACTTGCGACACAGGAGAGATTGGCCAGTAACAGCCCAGCACCCACAGATGCTAGAGACTGGGTCAATTTTCACTTACGAGAACTGTGCCTTGCATTTGTATAACGCTGGACAAAGAGCTTCAGGCTCTGAAGACAGGGATTCAAATATTAGCTCTGCTCCCTGTAAGCAATAAAGTCGCCCTGGGCCTCTGTTTTTCTCACCTAGGATATGAAATTTTAATACCTACATTCTACATAATATAAAACTGTATTAATAGTACTCACTGATGGAAAGCTGAACGAATATAGATTCAAGGGCTTGTGGGTTGGGTTTTTTTTTTTTTTTCACTTGCAGTTTTTGTAACTAACTCAGCACTACTGGATTAGGGCATGTTCTATCAAACTAAAAATCAAAAGCTTTCCTATGGGGAAAATCTTAATGTTATAGTTGGAAGAGGTGACAGCCGCATTACTGCCATCAAAAGTAATTTATTAACCGTATCTGTTCAAAATATTCTGGTAGGCTTCCTGTTTCAATGTATCGTCCTCTTGCAGTCTTTTCACTGTACTGTTCGGCTCTCCACCTGTGAATAAAATGGACACCTGGAAAACTTCATCTTTGGGGTAACTATTACAAGCCAACGCTGTTTTCAGCAGCAGCGCCAATCATACAGTGCAGGGAGGTGTATTGGGAGGCTGCCATCCTCAACCTCTCTGTCTCAGAGCTTGTAACACATCTTTCCGGTTTCCAGTTTAGACCAGGAAATCTGGGAAGAGATGACTAGCGAGGTTTTGCACCATCAGCATAAACCATGCTGATGCTGGCTCTTTACCCTCATCTCTCCTTCTTAAGCTGGTCCCACACTGCTCTTGAGACACAGGTACACAGGTGCCTCTCTATCCAAAGGAAGAGAAAAGAAAGAATTTTGTATACCAACCCGAATCGTTTAAAATGTTACCTTTCACAATCAGTTGTCCTGTGACGTGTGCACTTGCACTTACGTCTACATTTAGACGATATTTTAAAAGGTAAGTTATTACAAATCGGCTACGAGGCACCTACCAGGTGTAACTGTACAAAGGTCTGTTTCACCAACATCTCTTTTAGGAAGTCGGAGGGAAAGGGCTCTGCATCTAGCAGCGCCCGCCCTCACGCAGAGATGCGCACCGACACCCTCCCACGCGCACACATCCCCGCTCTCTCGCCCCGCAGCGTCAGGCTCTGACCCCACTGCATCCGCAAGGAGAGGGGCTCACGATCCGCGGGTCGGGAGCTGCTTTTGCCACTTCCAAGTGGGGGTTTGCTTGGATCATTCATTTATCTTGTACCCGTTAAGAAACCACCATTGGGTGATGGTGGGAGGCGCTACTCTGCCTGAAGCCCAGCCCGTCCGCCGCGGCTTCGCGCACACCGCACCCTCCTGCCTGCCAGCGCCCGCCTGGAGTCGCCTCCAGCCCGGGGTCCCTGTTTCCCAGGATCCCCGACGGGGTCTTCCGTTTCGCGTCTCCCACTTGGGAGTGTGAACGGGCAGGGGCACCGGGCAGTGTCCCGACTCTTCTGCGGGCTGACGGGATTCCCTTCGCGGCGGGTCGGACAGCACCCTCCGCGGGCGCCCCGTGCGTCCCCGGCCCCGAGCTCGCGGCGGCGCAGCTCGCTGGAGTTTGACTCTCTGGGGCAGCGGCGCCGGCGCCGAGCCGCAGGCGGCGGGAGCGAGGCGAGCCCGGCCGCTCGCCCTCCGCGCTGCGCTCGGATTGGTCTCTTGCAGACGGTGCTGGCCGAGGGTTGGCTGTGGGCCGGCTGAAGAACAGGTGCACCTTGCCGCCCGGACTCGCGGAGCAGCCGCCGAGGAACGCTGCGCGGCGGGCCGGGCGTGCGGCGGCGGCCAGGCCNGCCCCAGCGGCGGCGGCGGCGGCGGCGGGCGGGGGCCCGGACGGCGGCGGCGAAGGGGCGGCCGAGCCCCCCCGGGAGTTACGCTGTAGCGACTGCATCGTGTGGAACCGGCAGCAGACGTGGCTGTGCGTGGTGCCTCTTTTCATCGGCTTCATCGGCCTGGGGCTCAGCCTCATGCTGCTCAAATGGATCGTGGTGGGCTCCGTCAAGGAATACGTGCCCACCGACCTGGTGGACTCCAAGGGGATGGGCCAGGACCCCTTCTTCCTCTCCAAGCCCAGCTCCTTCCCCAAGGCCATGGAGACCACCACCACGACCACCTCCACCACGTCCCCCGCCACCCCTTTCGCCGGCGGCGCCGCCTCTTCCAGGACGCCCAACCGGATTAGCACCCGCCTGACTACCATCACGCGGGCGCCCACTCGCTTCCCCGGGCACCGGGTGCCCATCCGGGCCAGCCCGCGCTCCACCACTGCACGGAACACTGCGGCCCCCCCGACGGTCTTGTCCACGACAGCCCTTTTCTTTAGTAGCAGCACTTCGGGCTCCCGACCCCCGGTGCCAGGAACCCCCAGTACCCAGGCCATGCCCTCCTGGCCCACTGCGGCATACGCTACCTCCTCCTACCTTCACGACTCTGCTCCTTCCTGGACTCTGTCTCCTTTTCAAGATGCTGCCTCCTCCTCTTCCCCCTCGCCCTCCTCCTCCACCACCACCACCGCGCCAGAAATTAGCACCAGCCCCAAATTTCGTAAGTAAACACTGTCTGAACTCTGATTTACTGCTGAGTTTCCCTTCTGCCCTCCTGCTGTCTTTCCCCCTCGCGGCTTCTAGCATCCTTTATCCGCCCCCCACCCTCCGCCCGGGATTGGAATGTAGAGTGAGAGAATTAAACTAGCCGCGGGGGAGGAAAAAGGTGCCGGTCTTTTCCCCTGTGAGGGGAAAAGGTGGAGTGAAGCAGAGGGAGATTGTCAGCCAGGCTCCACGGGCCCTACTTCACTGGGTCCCAAATGAGAACTAACTCCCTTCAAGGGGTTAAAGCCAGTGCGATCCCTCTTCACTGCAGACCTGCTGTCGAGTTCTGGGATCCAGCTCCAGAGGAGAGCTGGGGAGGAAGGGAGGGCCTTCCCCAAAGGACGGAGCCCTTTCCCCGCATGTAGGAAGCAGAGAGAGAAATGCACATGCATTGCCCGACGTTAAACCGCGGAGGGAAGTTGTGTCCGTGTGGGGGTGGGCTCTGGGTTGTGTGTGGTCATTTGATGGAGATGTTGGTACAGTGAAGCTGTGGACACTTCCAGCGGCCCTGACCCGGGCAGGGACCGGGAAGGGTTAATTAGAAGCCATTGTGGGAGGTAGGGAAAGGAGGCGATCCATGGCGGAGGGGCTAAACTGATAACCGCCTACCCTGCCCGCGGACAAGCCAAGATGTAGAAAGGATTCTGTCTGCCGAGAGTGAGTTAACTAAGGGGAATTATGAAGGGAGCCCTGCGGAGCTGCCTTTTCTCTGGGAGGAGGAGTTTTTTCAGCTCTGCCCAAGCATTTGCTTTGTTCGTTTCCCAAAGGTGGGGTGTGAACCTCGTCTCCCCTCCCTTATGCCTGAAAAATTTAGGCAAAATGGGACAGAGTTTCCTGCACTCAAGAATGAGAAAATCCAACTCCTTTGAAACAGGTCACTCTTTGAATATAGCTTCTTCAACCTTGTCTCAGTTGCTGCCAGCACTGGTCAGTTACCCCAAGCATGAGAGCTTTCTGCCTGTCTGGGAGGTGTGTATTTCCTCTGTATCTTTTAAAATGTTTCAGATGACTAATTGACTCCCACCACTCTCCCACTACCCCACCTCGTTCTTATTCTAAGAGAATTTTAGGCAGCCTCTTAATCTGACTGTGGATCAGGGTCTGAGAACAGTTTGTGCAACCTGTGAAGGTTATTTAGGACAAACCCCCCAGCCTGCCAGTTCAAGTTCTGTGCAAGGCATTTCTCCCAAACTGCCTGGCAGTGCCTCCCTTGTATTGTATTTCTGTTTTGAGCCACAGCATCTGGAGGGAAAGGAAGAGTGCTCATCATTAACTCTTGAGTAGGAATACCAAGCTTCCAGTCATCTGGGAAATTTTCATTTCCCTGACCTATGGGTTTACCTGGGGTGGTATTTAACCTTTGAAACTTTTTTTTTTTTTTGGATTTGTTGAGGGTAAAGTCCAAGGAGAGACATTCCTGATGTTTTTACTTTGCTTTGGGGAACAAAACAGGCTAAAAAGATAAATTGGGAGACAGGGAGGAGAGGAGAATGAAGAGAATCTGCCACAAAGCAGAATGGCAAGCAAGCCGGTAACTTGCTGCTTCTCTCTGCTTTGGCTGAAGCAGTCATTTTTGAGAGCACATTTTCTCAGGAGGTGTATAGAGGCTTCTCTCAGCAAATCTAGCTGCTCGAGTTTGGTGGATGGGTAAAGGATGCGCAAGTGTATGTGTGAACATTCAGTGGATTGAAAATAGATGCATTTATCCTGAAGACCCCAGGTTTTTTTTGTTTGTTTGTTTTTTATCTCTTCTTTTGATACAGTTGATATAAATAATGGAGTATGGGTATACCTCTCAGCCTTGTGTGTATGTCGGGGGAGGGTTGCATATAGGGGATATTTCATATTCTTTCTCAATTGATTTCCTTGCTTTCTATTCTAGAGGTCTTTAAAGAAAAGCCCAAGGTAATTATTTCTACCCCTCCATACTCCCTTCCTACATTCTGTAGAAGGGAATGGCAGTGTGTTTAATAAATAATGATTATTGACAGGGCTCTCAGCCCTAAGGAAAAGGGAGGGGGAACCTGTAAATGGTGTCAATGTTCACTTAGACATATAAGCAGTATTTGTTTTATGTGTATCTGAGCTTCAGCTCCTGCTCTTTTTTAAACCTCCGGCGAAGAGTTGAATTAAGGGATTTACGAGTATGGAAATCCAGCAGAAGCTGACCTGGTTTGTCTATATCAACAAGGGAAATTTTAATGAAAGGAAGATTATGTAGTTTCCATAAAAGATGAGTTTAAATAGGCAGGTTGTATGGTAATTTAAAGAAAAATGATAATTTAATTATTTTTTGAGTACAAGATTGCAGGGTGATTAACAAAAGGAAATAAAGGTTTCATTTGAGGGATCATCAACACTGCTGAAGAATGGCCTGAATATCTTGCATTAATATTTTTCACTTGTTTTGATTATGTCACCAAAGTTCCCAGGAGAGAAAGTCCCCCTTTTTTCTAGCTCCTACCTTTAGACTTCAATAGATGCTTTTTCTTTTCTTTCTTTCTTTTTTTTTTTTTAATGAAAGTCATGGGTTGTATTGTAGCCTCTGAAGACAGCTGACAGTGATGCTTTTTTTTTTTTTTTCTTGAGACTGTCTTACAAATTCTGAAATTGCCAGGGTCTATGCTTTTGAATTGAACACAAGGCTTGTAGAATGAGTCTTTGTGTTCATCTTAGGTCGATCAGAAGGATACTGTCTGTAAAGGCAGTGTAGCTCTTTGGAGTGGAAGAGACTGGTTCACTCTAGAATAAACACACTTGCAAATGAGTAATAGGATTTTTGTAAGCAAAAGTTACATTTGATATGGGAAGGCCCAGTTTAGGAGACTGTTTCTGATTTTCTGTAGGATTGACAACAAAGAAAGCTTGAACTTGCAAGGTGGAAGAGGAGAGGGGCTTGGAAGTGGACTCTTCCCATTCTCCAACTTTCAGAATGTGAGCCAGACCAAGACATTCTATGTTGCTGGGGTCTCTTGGATTCCCAGGACTTGCCTTTCCTTCAGAAGCTTTAAAAACAAATATCTTGAACATACTGCCTCTAAGAGATTATTTTCTACAAAATGTCTCTGCAGCTGTAAATATAGGATTAGTTTACAAATTTTTTAGTCCAAAGGGAGGTTTACTGCAGACAGTAGAGAGACAGTAATTTTGACCAGTGTATAAACATCCTTTTAGGGCACATTGAATTGTATTTTCACACTTGAAATGCATACGTGTGTGTAGAATGTTGTCAGTGCAAATGTGGATTGTTGTTTTACTCAGCAGAAAACACCCTTTAACAGATGTTTAACAGAAGACCAGATCTTGTCTAAATTCAAGTACTAAACACAACCACTTTTAATGGATTATTCTTTGGGTCATATTTGGAAGGTATATAACTATTCCAGTGAGTAAGATCACCGATCTTGAATAGTATATTTAGTAGAGAAATAATGTAAAGTGTATCATCGATGTTTAAACATGGTAGGATGACAGTTTTATTATAACCAAGTGTATTTAAATCAGACTTTACCCAAACATCATTTTGGAGCATTCCATTGATAACATTGACAGTTTTCTTATCTATTCTTTTTAAACATCTTCACTCTTTAAGCAGGAGTACTCTGAGTTGCTTTTTAAGCAGCCTCAGGTATAATTTGTTTAAAGTTACTCCTATGTTGTCTTTTATCCACATGAATTGGGGCCATCAGAGGAATTCCAGCATAGAAAGGATTCACCCCAACCATATGGGGTGACCACAGTGAAAGGATTCAGAGTTCGAGATCAATATTTCTTATGAAATCCAATTGAGAGGTTTTTTTATGAGCACATGTTGCAGCTTGAGTTCATTTTGATTTCCTCTGGCCTTAATACAGGATTATGAGACTTTTCTGCTTTAGTCAGTTATGCTGTACATTTTACTCTTCTGACACTCACGTTGTGCTTCATGGTCCTAACAGGGAAAAAAGAGGGAGGCAGGGATGTGGGCATAGAATCAGCAAGGTTCTTTTTAGAACCATTTTTAATCTGGTCTCACTGCCTTAAGGCTGTGGTTTCAGTCTTCCTCCTCCGCTCCTCATGACTGAGGCAGAAGGGGTTGGGAGTGCTAATAGAACGTTCCTTTTGCATGCTTGATTGGTGAATCCAGACATCTTTTGTCTGTACAATTTCCCGGATAGCCTTTTTTTTTTAAAACAGTGTTGATCTACATGTTTGTCAGAAAGAAAAACAAAAACTTCAAAAAAAGCTGGTGTGTGGCAGCTTCTCTCTTTATTTTTGGTTAATAGAGCAACCAACGTTTCTATATCCAGGTTAAGCCATAATCAAGTGTTGCTGCTGAGTTTGAAAGCAGTGCCATCCTAGGAGGTCTAGTGTTTAGAGGAATAAGCTCTCTGGCATGCTTTCTCAGCTTCTCCTCATCTACACACCACAATGAAAAGAAGGATGATTTTCATCTACCTTCTTATGTAGAATTTCTTTCCTCATAACCTCTCATATCCAGTGCCAAACATATCTCAATATTCTATCTGAGGTGTAGAAAATGGAACATGAAAGCTGGCCCTGAAATATATAAGAGCAAAGAAAGAACTATAAATCTAAGTCTGAGAAGTGCATTTGAATTGCTTGTGAATAGAACTAGAGTTCATTTTTCTCCCCATGAACCTGTTTTTATCTTCAGACTTTTGTGTTCGGTGAGACACAGAGCTGGTACTGCGTTGGCAAATACCACTGAGACATTTTTGGAGTCTAGAGATTTTACTTGTCTATACTCAAAAAAGTGTTTCCTCCAGAACCATGTACATATGGAAGTCAGGAGGGAGAAAGAGACTCAATTTAAAGCCTTGCGATACCAGGATGGAAATGTACCTAAATCCATTCATGTGGTTATTAATGAAAGTCTTAGGACACATGGTTTGGTTTTGCATTTTTACAACTTTTTCTCTGAGGACTTATGGACTCCTTCCTTACCCAGTCTTT